TCTCATGCAGCCTCCACCTCCCAGGTTCAAGCAATTCTCCTGCCTCAGCCACCCGAGTAGCTGGGATTATAGGCATGTACCATCACACCCAGCTAATTTTTAGTAGAGACAGGGTTTCACTATGTTGGCCAAGCTGATCTCAAACTCCTGGCCTCAAGTATTTCGCCAGCCTTGGTCTCTCAAAGTGCTGGGATTACAGGTGTGAGCCACCATGCCCGGCCTTAACTATTTCAATTAATAACATGATCATTACCAAATATAGAAAACCAACCCAAGTGATGACTGCAGAAAAGATATTGTGCTTTCAGGCAACATGCACTCAAGATATGGGAATTGCCTATGTGAGTACAAGTAATTGCTTGTATAATGTCACCAGATTAAATTCAGCAGGGTCTCTTTTGGCTAAATGTGTTATACACCTTACAACATGCTGTAAGGGGGGCACAAAAAGGTAAATTTCCCAATGGATTTTGTTCAGGAGCTGTGCAGAGATTTATTAATGAACAAATCTAACTGACCCTGCTCAAATGCAACTAGGTGGCCCTGTTTTTCAACTCCCAAGGGCCTATATTGGGTCTGTGGATAACCTGCATATTTCATTCGACCTCCTCGTTGGCTCAGAGCTTGCTGTTTGGTCTGGCTCACTTCTGCCTTTCAAATAGTTTCTCCTAAAAATTATCTTAACAGCTGTTATGATTGTAGGCCAAAATAGTCAATAACTGAAATTAGCACTAGCTTTGAAATAGACAAAGATAAGCTAGATTCCACTGAGGAAAGATTCCAGTGGGGTACCTGGGGGCTCAGTTTTGGTGGTAGTAGGATACTAGTTGTATGGAATCTAAAGCTAATCCATATTTGGGGTCTTGGATTTTGTAGCCAATCAGACCTCCCAGTGTTTCAGACAGGTAGAAGCTACTCTCTAAAAGGTAGATGTGGAGGGGTGCAGTGGCTCATGCCCGTCATCCCAGCACTTTGGGAGGCCAAGGCAGGTGGATCACCTGAGGTCAGGAGTTCGAGAGCAGCCTGGCCAACATGGTAAAAACCCGTCTCTACTAAATACAAAAAATTAGCCAGGCGTGGTGGCACAGGCCTGTAGTCCCAGCTACTTAGGAGGCTGAGGCAGGAGGATTGCCTGAACCCGGGAGACAGAGGTTATGGTGAGCTGAGATTGCGCCACTGTACTCCAGTCTGGGTGACAGAGTGAGACCCTGTCTCAAGCAAAAAAACAAAAAAAGGTAGATGTTACAGTTAACATCATGGAGCTTCATATCTTTTTATTCAGGCTGGGAACCTGTTTGGTGTTGAACAAAACAGAATGCTACACTTATCTCTCTCCTGATTTTGTTACTACGGAAAGCTTAATGTAAAGGAAGCTGATACTGCCGTTTCCTTAGATACTGACACCAAATACAATAAAGAAGTCTATTAAGTGGAAAACATGGTGTGTTTACAGGAACAACTAATGGTTTGTAGATGTCCTAAACTGCAGATGGCAAGCTTGGGTTTCCCAAAGGTTTCTAGTCTTTATATGCCTTCTAGCAGGTGTCCAGGTTAGTATGGCATGTGTTACCAGAGTAACAATGAAAATGGAAACGTCTTTAAATCAGGCCACTTTATAGTGAACTATGATCCTTAATTGCTACCACATTTCAAACAAGAACTATGACCAATTAAACTTTAGTATTGTTGAACTGTTATGTTGCCTGAACTTTGACCTGTTTAATTTGGTTTAGTTTATTTCTTAAGAACTTTTGTTAAGGAGTGTACCTTGGTATTTTGATATTATTCTCTTGATAGTCATAGTAATAGTTCCCGTGATGTGCTTCATCCTCTCAAGTCTTAAATGTTTTGTATGCAGCCATACATTGAGAATTGAATGGTCTCACTTAGACTAGGTCAGCAAGAACATAAAGAATCATTCACCTAGTGTGAAGCTGTGACTTGTGAACTCTAGTGACACCAATAAAGCCTTGTGAACTCCATACTGAGACCATTTATGATAGTGAGAGAGTGGCATCAGTGCCTAAAGTTTTGGTCAATCTCTCTAAATTAAGAGTGACAAAAACAGGGGAATTGATAAATCAAACTCAAACCCGGCCTGAGGAAGCCTTCATACTTCCATACTTGAGTCCTTAAGGGTGAACCATAATGTAACTAGTAGGTAGGCAGACTGAAAACCTGACTTAGGAGGATGCTTCTTTAGCAATAGCTGAGTCTCAGCCAATCCTATTGGCCATACTTCAGCCACTCACAGGCAGCCGACTGTTTGAATCACGCTCAGATAAGGCAAACACCAAGCTGTAACCAGTCTGGCTGTTTCTGTACCTCACTTCCGTTTTCTGTATGTCACTTTCCTTTTTCTGTCCAATAATTTGCTTTGACAACACAGCATCCCTGGTGTCTGTCTGTATCTGCTGTGATTCCGAGGGCTGCCCAGTTTGCAAATTATTAATTTTTCTTGCTCAATTAAACTCTGTTTAAATTAATTTGTATAACATATTCCTTTTAACAGAACTTATAATTAAAATGGAAAGAGGGTGTAGAAATTTAGAAAACTTGCAGCATGGCCATGTGGGTAGAGAAGGAGGAATCCAAGCAGTCTGCTGAGCAACTGCTTGCTAAAGACATTAGCGTGTCTAAAAGGGAGCCAGGTGCTAATATTCAAGACAGAGGGAAAAGGCCTCAGAGGTACTTCAGAAGTCTTCCAGAACACCCCTCCTATCACAGGCCCACAGGCCTAGGAGGACTGAATGGTTTCGGAGACCAGGCCCAGGGCACCATTACCTTGTGCTACCCCAGGATGCTACTTCCCACATCCCAGCTTCTCCAGCTCCAGCGTTGGCTCCAACAGCCCCAGGTACAGCTCAGACCACTGCTTTTGGAGGGTGCAAGCCCTAAGCCTTGGCAGCTTCCATGTGGTAATTTTTTTTTTTTGAGACAGAGTCTTGTCCTCTCACCCAGGCTGGAATGCAATGGCACCATCTTGGTTCACTGTAACCTCCACCTCCAGGGTTCAAGCTATTATCCTGCCTCAGCATCCCAGGTAGCTGGGATTGCAGGCATGCATCACCATGCCCAACTAATTTTGTATTTTTAGTAGAGATGGAGTTTCACCATGTTGGTTAGGCTGGTCTTGAACTCCTGACCTCAGGTGATCCATCCACCTCAGCCCCCCAAAGTGTTGGAATTATAGGTGTGAGCCACCATGCCCTGCCTTCCATATAATTTTAGGTCTGCAGGCTTGCAGAATGCAAGAGTGAAGGAGGCTTGGGAGCTTCCACCTAGACTTCAGAGGATATATCAAAAAGCCTGAGTGCCTAGGCAGAAACCTGCCACAGGGGAAGAGCCCCCACAGAGAGCCTCTGCTAGGGCAGAGCCAAGGGAAAATGTAGGGTTGGAACCTCCACACAGAGTCCCCACTGGGGCATTGCCTAGTAGAGCTGTGGGAATGGGGCCAGTGCCCTCCAGACCACAGAAAGGTAGAGTCACCAGCAGCTTACAACCTCAGCATGGAGGAGCCACAGGCATTCAACTCCAACCTGTGAGAGAGCAGCCATGTGGGCTGCACCCAGCAAAGCCATAGAGACAGGGCTGCTTCAGGCCTTGAAAGCCCACTCCTCTCACCAGTATGGAGTTAAGGAAGATTATTTTGGAACTCTAAGATTTAATGTTTGCCCTGCTGGGTTTCAGACTT